TTGAAAAGTTTGAGTCTTCTTTATTTGTTTGATCCAATAATGTTTGATGTTTCAATTGTTGTTCTTTTAATGGCCTTTCAATTTCCTTATTATTTGATGATAAACTAATACTGTTATTTAAATTATTATTATTATTATTAACTTCTTGTTGTTTTTTTGGTTTTTCTTTTTCCTTTTCTTTATCTTTTTCCTTTTCTTTTTCTTTCTCTTTTTCTTTTTCTCTATCTTTATCTTTATCTTTTTCTTTATCTTTATCTTTACTTTGATTATTATTACTACTGAATCTAGTTAACATATTTTTCTTTTTTAAATTTTTATAAACTGCAAAAATAATAAAAGAGTTATTATTAGGTGGTGATAGTGGAGTTTTAATAGAGTTTGAAATGGTTGATAGTCTTGTTAACTTTAAGCTTTGTAAATGAGATTTAAATACAATATGTTCTTCACCACCTTTTTTCTTTGGTATCCAATAATCTAATTGCATTTCAGGGATTGGTTGATGGGCCAAGTCATTTACAAAATCAACTTCGTGGTCTGTTTGAAATTTACCAAAATGATTAATTTGAATTCCTTTTATAAATGGTACTGTGGCAGTACCAGCAGAGGTCGACATTGTAAGTAGTGCCTCACCTATTGGGAATTTATATTGATTATTTGTTGGTGTTGAAATATAAAGATTGATTTTATTTTCAATTTCTGAAATTTGTTGTTGTGTTGGTGGTTCTATTTGATCAAATATTTTTTTCCATTCAGCATTATTTGAAAACATTGTGGAGTATTTTGTATCATTTGCAGCCAATTGTAGTGATATGTCATTACTTTTTCCCAATGGTAAAAGATAGAACAAAAATGGATTCCAGCCTCTTGGTTTTAATGAAATTAATGTAACAAAAGTTTTCATAATGGAATTTACATAACTATCAGACCCAGCTATAACAATTTTAGTTTGACTGCTATGGAGTTTTGAAAGAATTGATTTAAAGATTTGTGCAATTTCGTTATTTGATTTTGTTGAAACTATTAAAAATGACTCTTTAAATAGTGAAGATTGCTCTATGATTTTTTCCATTTTTCTACCTCTTCTTCTTAACGAGTTTATAAGGAATATGTGAATTGGTTTCTCTGAAATTGATATTTGATGTAAAATATTTTCAAAATTATTTGATGAATAAAATTGTGATGTTAAACTATTATTATTTGAATTGTTTGAACTATTTAAATTATTATTTGTGATTTTATTTGCTATTGGTTTTATTATATTATTTAATTTTGGATTTGAATCATTTGCTAAAAATATTTTATCGCTAGATGATTTAAATGAATGAATAAGATCACTACTGTGATGTGATAATGGAAGTGATGGGTTATAGAAATCATCAGTATTCTTTTCTTCTTCATCTGCTGAATCTTCATCATTTTCTTCATTTAAGTCATAATCTTCATTATTATTATTTTTATTATTATAGATATTATTATCTATATTATTATCAATATTATTATTCATATTATTATAAATTGGATCATAAACATCGCTACTACTTTCACTTGATGATTCATAATCAACCATTATTTCATCATTATTTCCTCCTGTTCTATGATCTCTTGTATTATCTGATTTATTAGTTATTGGTTTAATTAAAGATGATAGTTTTTGAAGTTTTGATTTTTTCTTATTTTTAATTTCATTATTATTGTATACCATTAAATTATTTATATTACCATTGTTTACATTGGTTGTTTGAGTATTATGGCTATTATAATGGTTGTGTTGTTCATTTTCTCTTAATTCTAAAAGTCTATGAGAAAGTAAACCACTACTAACAATATTTAAACTTTCTGATATATATAGTGGAGCATTATTTTGTTCAAAAATTTGATCTTGTTCATTATCTGTAAAGTCTTGTTGTATATTATGAGAGTGTAATAGTGGTGAAGAATTGAATAAATTTGGGGAGGTTGAATTTTGATTACTAATGTTATTATTATTATTATTAGTATTACTATTATTATTTATTGGTTGAAAATGATATGGTACATCTTGATAGGAAATTATTTCTTCTTCATCATCGTCATAATTTGAGTCATTTGAATCATTTGAATCAGAGTCAAAGAATAAATTTTCATCATCGGATAATGCAATATCGTTTAATTGATATTCTTGTGCATTTTCAATATTTTCAATTTCCTTTGGGACACTACAAATAGAAACATTGATAGAACCGGTTGTATTGTTAACACTATTTGTTGTTGGGTTGTTACCAGGGCTGCTATTACTACTATTGTTGTTGGGGTTATTAGTTAAACCATTGCTATTATTTAAATTGTTGCTATTGTAATTAATATAGCTGTTAATATTTAAACTTGCTATGTTTGAATTGTCTTCATTATCACTATTTGAATTATTTAAATTTGCATTATTAATGTAGTCACTACTTGATATTATAGGTATCATATCTAAATCTGAAATAAACTCTCCTTGTTGCAACTAATAATAAAAAAAAAATTGTTATTATATATTAAAGGAATTTATGATAATAATATTGATTAATTTCTTACAATTTGAGAAAGATTAACGGTACAGTAAGATATTGGAGTACTATATCTATATCTTTGTTTATTAGTATTGTTGTTATTATTTATATTATTACTCATATTGCTATTATTGGTATTATTGTTGATACTATTATTAGTATTATTGTTATTATTACTTGATGAAGAAATAGGTGTTGTACATTTTAATAAAGTTATTTTAATGAAATCATCATATTCTTTTAAAGAGTGATCATAATGAAAGCTAAATCTAATGTCTAATGGATATAGGTAAGTTTTCTTTGAGATATTACTATTTTCATTATTACGTTTTGGTGAAAAAGCTGAATTTTGTGTAGGTGAGGATGAGTAAATACTTGTATCATTATTATTTATATTATTTAAATTTATTGATAGACCTTTTGAATTATTAATATTTATACTATTAGTATTATTGTTATTATTAATATTATTATTAATTTGACTATTATCATTATTATTATTTAAATTTAAATTTAAAGAATCAAATTCAATTAAGTTTAAATCAATTGGTTGCTGATTTCTTTGTTGTGATGATTGTTGAGATAAAACCACTTCTTCTAAAGTCTTTGAAAGATCAATTGGAGTTGTAACTAATGTTCTTCTAATTTTATTCAAACCAACTGAAAATTTAATTGATGATGGTATTTTATCTCTATTATCTGCAGTAATTTCTAATTTGGAAATTCTAATGTGACAACATCTTTTAACATGAGCATGGTGATTTGATTTTTCACTATCTTTTAAATGGCTACCACGTATTGTTAATTGAGGTATTGTTATAAAACCTTCATTTACTGATTGAGTACGATTTAATAGTGATGGTGGTACTGAATAACTCATAAAACTATTTATATATATTTATTAATCTATTATTTATTAATCTTTTATTTATCTATTTATTTATTTATTAATATACACAAAATAATATTATTATTTATTTTTTAAAATTTTTTTAAGGGGATATTTAAAATATTAATAAAAAAAAAATAAAAAATATAAAAAAATAAAAATAAAAAAAAAATAAAAAAAAAATAAAAAAAAAAAATATTTTTATAATAGTAAATAAAAAAAAAATAAAAAACCTATTTCTTTTAAATAATATTATTATTTTTTATAAAGATATACATTTACTAATTATAAAACTAGTTTTATTTATAGAATATAATATATAATAAATTATTTAATTATTAAAAAAAAAAAAATTTTTAAAAGTGGGGTAATTATATTAATTTTTTTTTAAAATAATTATTTTTTTTTTATTTTTTTTTTTACAACAAAAAATAAAAATAAAAAATAAAAAAAAAAAAAGTAATATTTATAATAAATAATTTAATGGACAAAAAAAATAAAGAATCAATAATTAACAATCATTATGAAATAAAAAATGAAAAAACAGGAAGTAGCTTTAAAACTATTCACCATAATCAAGTAAAATATTTACAAGAAGTCAAAAAAATTAAAGATGAAAATCATATAATGTATATTACATTGGTAGCAGGTGCAGGAAGTAAGTTGTTTGAATCATTAATTATGTTTCCATTAGATACAATAAAAACCAGACTCCAATTTCAAGGTGATTTTTCAAAAAGTTCAATTAGAAACAAGTATAGTGGTATTTTAAATGCAATATATACATCAGCAAAAACAGAGGGAATTAAAACTTTTTTCAGAGGTTATATACCACACACATTATATGTATTACCTGCATGTATGTATTTAAATTATTTTATATTTAAATTACTAATTACTAACGAAAAAAATAGCTGGTATTAGTTTTTTATGTTACGAATCAATTGTTAAAGAGGCAAAAAAATCACATAAATATAAAACTATGATGACCGAGATAGGTACTATTAAATCAAATGGAGACAAAACAGAACAAGGATATATAGTTTTACCAATATTAGCAATGGTTGGTGCAAGGGTGATTGGTTCAGTAATTAGAACTCCTTTTGATATTATCAAAATGAGACAACAAGTATCAGGTTCATTAGTAAATGAAAATTATAAACAAATTAATTCAAACTCTTTAAGATCATTCAAGAGAATAATTGAAACTGATGGGTATAGAGGTTTATTTAAATTTTCGTCAGTATCACTACTCAGAGATTTACCATTTACAGGTATATATTTTTATAGTTATGGAAAGTGTCGTAATTTACAAAAAAAATGGATAAACAAAGACCTAAAAAGAAATGAAAAAAAGAAAAAACTTTCACCAATTAATAATTTAATAGCTGGAGGTTTTAGTGGAGCCCTGGGTACAATTTTAACAATACCAATCGATGTAGTTAAAACCAATTTACAGCTTCAAGATGCTTGTTTACCCAAAGATAAACGGTTTAATGGTGTTATTGATTGTTTCAAATATATTATTAAAACAGAAGGTTACAAAGGTTTAACAAAGTATTTTTTTATTTTTTTTTATTTTTTTTTTTATTTTTCAAATTTACTAATTTAAAAAATTAAATAATAGGGGTTTAGGAACCAGACTGGTGCATATAATACCTTCAGCTGCTTTATCATTTGCTTCTTATGAATGGATAAAAAAAAAACTATCAAAAAAATAATAATTGTTCAACTTTATAAAATAATAAACCGAAGCAGTATTTAATTTTTTTTTTTTAATAATAAAATTTTTATTTTATTTAATCAAATTTATTTCTTTTTATTATTTATTACAATTAACAAATATGATAAATTTATATTTTTGGAAATAATCAAAATGAAAAATTATATTAAATATACCCAAAAAAAAAAAAATTAAAAAAATTAAAAAATTAAAAAATAAAATTTTTTTTATTAATGATTTTTTTTTTAACTGCCCACATAGCACCTTTTTTTTTTTTTTTATTATTTTTTATATTGTGCACTGCCTTTATATAATAAATAATTTTAATTTTAATAATATTTTATCTTGGTTAAATAAAACAAAATAATAGCAATAATAATTTTATAAAAACATATTTATATATGTGTTTATAAACCATTTTATTTTAAAATGGGAAATCAACAATCAGGGTTGCAACAAACAGATACACAAGCAGTAACATTCTCCAAAGATACTGAAAGTGTAGAAATTAGTGATAGATATCTTGTAACATTTCCACTTGAACTTAGACAGCTACCAAATTTAAAATATTTAAATCTTTCAAGAAATAAAATAACAAGGGTTGATGGTGTTAGTGGAATTCTAAATTTAGAAGAATTAGATATATCTTACAATGCTTTAACAATTTTATCAGGTAGATATTCAAAATTAAAAAATAAATTAAAAAACTAATAAAAAAAAATATTAATAAAACTTTTTTTTTTTTTTCATAAAGATGATTTATTTTTGTGTAATAAATTAAATAAATTAAATTTATCATTTAATCAAATTAGTCAGATCCAATCACTTATTCAACAATTAAAACAAATTAAACAAATAAATTTATCAAATAATATTATATCACAATTACCAAATGAAATTGGGTTTTTAAAAAATTTAACAGTATTAAATATATCATTTAATAAATTACAAAATTTACCAAAAACTATTGGACAACTAGACAATTTAACCAAATTAATTGCAAACAATAATAAACTTCAGTTATTACCAATAGAGATAGGAGCATTATCACAGCTAACTTTATTAGATTTAGCAGAGAATGAACTTAGAATACTACCAACTCAAGTTTCTCAGCTAGGTTGCCTTACCAAACTTTATTTGGACAATAATGATTTCTTAGAGATGATACCAGAGATTTCAAAACTTACTCAATTAAAAGAACTTAATCTTAGAAGTAATCAATTAGTTGATTTGCCATCATCATATCACAAATTAGTTAATTTACAAATTTTAGATTTAGACGATAATCAATGGGACCATATAGACTATACTGTAAATGACATCAAAAGACTATTGGATTATTTAAAAACTAAAAAGGACATTGTAAATAAATCTAGAAAATCAACTTCAAAGGAATATAGAAGAACAATAACTCGTCAAAAATTAGAAGATAAAAAAAGATTAAGTTTAAATAATTTATTTGAAAATAATGTAGGTTTTTTTTTTTCTTTAAAAATATTATTAATTTAATATTATATTTTTATACTAATATTTATTTATTAAAGTTTCAAGTTATTGAATTTAAAAAAAAACTTTTACAATTAAAAGGAAAAAGTATTGTTTTTGTTAAAAAAGTTCCACTTTTAGTAGATTCATTAAATACTGAAGATATTTTTATTTTTGATATTGGTAAAAAGATTTATATTATAAATGGTAATCCAAATTTAAATCAAAGAGAAAGACAAAAAGCAGTACATTTATCAAAATTAATGAAAGAAGAAAGAGGTGCAGCAGATATTATTTTATTAGATTTTAAAAATTCAAGAAAAGAAGAAATTAATGAATTTTGGAAAGATTTTGGTGTAACTGGTCGTGTAAATTTAAAGAATAAGTCAAGTAATAATGATGATGATGATATTGTTCAAGAAGAACATATATTAGAAACCAAGTTATTCAAGTTCTTTGAGCCTGAGGAAGGCAGATTAGATATTCAAGTGTATGCCGCTCAAATACTCTATAGAAATATGTTAGATAGTAACTCTTGCTCAATTTTAGATACTGGTACAGATATTTATGTTTGGAGTGGTCTTTATTCGAGCGCTAATGAAAAATCCTGGTCAATGTTAAAGGCTGAAGAATTAATTAGTCGTAGATCTGATAATGCTGAAATTCATTGGCTCATCGAAGGTATGGAAACACTTTTATTCATTGAATACTTTGTTGATTGGGTCGATAATAGCTGGGATCAAGAGTATATCAAAACTCAAAATCAAATTAAAGAAAGAGAAGAACAAGAAAAATTAGAAGCTGAAAGAGAAAGAAGAAGAATGGAAAAGGAAGAAGAAGAAGAAATGGAAAAAATGAAAAGAAGGTCATTTGAACAACAACAATTACAACAACAACAACAACAACAACAAGAATTTGAACAGCAAATAAAACAACAAAAACAACAAACATTAGAACAACAAAAACAAGAACTATCATTTGCTGCCTCAACATCTATAAATAACTCACCATATACTTTTACTCCAATTATTTCACCAACCCAAACAACAACAGCAAATAATAACTTTATAAAACCATTACCATCAATCGTAAATTTACCTTCAATTCCATCTTCAAATTACAACAATAATAATAATAATTTATCTGAAAGAGAAAAAATTAAAGAAAGAGAAAAAGAAAAAATAAGAGAAAGATTAAAACAAAGAGAATCAGGAGCATCTACTTCACAAACCAATTTATTACAACCACAAAAAATTTCACCTGAAGCTAGTCCAATCTTACCCTCAATTCCAAAATCAATACCCTCTATTCAACTAGAAAAAGAATCATCTGTTATTTTACCATCAATTACAAAACCTTTACCAAAAGAACCTGATGTTGTAACATTACCACAAACAAAACAACCATCTCCAGTTATTACACCATCCCAACCAACTAAACAACCATCTCCAGTATTATCACCAGTTAAGCCATTGCCAAAAGAACCAACTGTTGTAGCATTACCAAAAGTTGAACCAGTTAAACCATTACCAAAAGAGCCAACTAATGCAGTACCATTACCAAAAGTTGAACCAGCCAAGCCATTACCAAAGGAACCAACTGTTGTAGCATTACCAAAAGTTGAGCCAGTTTCTATTAAAAAAGAAACAATTACCCCAACTGTTACAGTTAATGAACAATCAATATTTGATGATAAGAATGGTTCTCAAACACTAGCCCCATTACCAGAAAAAGCTGAAACAGCAAAGAGACAAGCTGCATCAAGAAATCCAATCAGAGCAAGACAAGAAAGAGCTGCATTAGAAGAAGCTGAAGCCAAAAAGAGATTAGCTGAACAAGAGCAAATGAAATTAAATAATACTCTTAGTGTACCAGCCAATACTAGTACTAATAAGGCTTCATCTGTTGCTAGTGCATTAGGCGGCTTTGGTTTACTTTATTCAGTTGGTGCTGATGAAACAATGTTTAAAAAGAGAGCAGAGAGAGCTGCTGCTGCTGCAGTTAACCCAGAACCATTTTCTATTAATATTCAACCAAAAGATCAACCAAAACTCCTTCATGTTAAAGGTAGACGTTCACCATTTGTTAGACAAGTCGAACTCAGTTATCAATCTCTCAATAAGGGTGATGTTTTTATTTTAGATTGTGGTAAAGAAAAGAATTTACTTTATCAATGGAATGGTTCAGAAGCAAATAGAATAGAAAAAGGTAAAGGTATGGATATTGGCAAGAGTATTAAAGATAAAGAAAGAGTAGGTTGTCGTGTAGTTATTATTGATGAAGGTAAAGAACCTGAAGATTTTTGGAAGGTTTTAGGTGGCAAAGGTGAAATTGCATCAGCTGATACCGCCGGTGATGATAGAGAAGCTGAACTTAATATCAGAAAATATATCAATCTCTTTAGAGCTCAACCAATTAATGGTGATAAGGAATTAGACTTGGTACCACTCGATGGTAGATTATCAAAAACATTATTAGAAGGTGGTGAATGCTATATTTTAGATTGCATTAGTGAAATGTTTGTTTGGACCGGTTCAAACTCCAAACTAAAGGTTAGAAATATGACATTAAAATTAGCAAATGATATGTTTGCAAGTAGAAGTGCAAATTGTTGGACCAGTGGCGCAGTACACCGTGAATTCCCCGGAAGTGAACAAGTATTATTTAAAGAACGTTTTTCAGATTGGGGTGGATCATTACCAATTGCTATGCAACAAGCCCCAGTTGGTGTTAATACTGCATCTGCAAAGAAACAAGAGAAAATTGATGTCGCTACAATGCATAAACCCAAACCAGAAAAAGAAGAGGTAATGATTGATGATGGTAGTGGTAAATTAACAATTTGGCGTGTTGAAGAATTTCAAAAAGTTGCAATCGATCCAAAGAATTATGGCCAATTTTATAGTGGTGATAGTTATTTAATTCTTTACACTTATTTCTTTAAGAATAAAGATAACTATTTAATTTATTTCTGGCAAGGTAAAAACAGCTCTATCAATGAAAAAGGTACCAGTGCTCTTTTAACAGTGGAACTTGATGATCAACTTAAAGGTATGGCAAAAGAAGTTAGAGTAGTTCAAAATAAAGAACCAAAACATTTCCTCACCATTTTCAAAGGTAGATTTATTATTCATCAAGGAAAAGATCCACTATCAAAAAATTATAAACCTCAAGCCAACATTAAAGACCCACGTCTTTATCATGTTCGTGGTACAACAGACTTTAATACACGTGTTATTCAATCTAAGTTATCAACTTTAACATTAAACTCTTACAACTCATTCATTTTAAACAATCAAATAAACAATGGCACAATTTATATTTGGTATGGTAAACTTTCAAACTCAATTGAAAGAGCATTAGCAAAGAAAATTGTACAATCAACATCACCCAATCAAAATGATGGAGCAGGTTGTAAAGTAGTTGAGTTTGAAGAAAATAAAGAAAGTGAAGAATTTTTCAAACTTTTAGGTGGTCGTAGCAATTATCCACTTTCAAAAATTACATCAAGAGTAGAACCACGTCTTTATCTCTGTACAGTCGGTACAGGTGTATTTGTAGTCGAAGAGGTTAATTCATTCGCTCAAGATGATTTATTACAAGAAGATGTATTTATAGTTGATGGTATTGATAATATTTTCGTTTGGATTGGAACAGAAACTACTGAAGTCGAACGTAAATCATCAATGGAAGTAGCAATGGAATATTCAGCAACACTACCAGCCCCAAGAAAACAAAATGTACCAGTATATCTAACCTATCATGGCAAAGAACCATTCATTTTTACATCATTGTTCCATGGTTGGGATTTCTCAAAACGAATTTTACCAACATTTAGTTATGATGGTGAATTAACTTTAGCTAAAGATGTTTTAAACCTTTACACTAAAAAATATACATATGAAGAAATTGTTAACAAGAAATATCCAAAAGGTATTGATGGTTCACGTTTAGAAGAATACTTGGAAGAAGACGATTTTAAAAAGATATTCCAAGGTTTAACTTTAGAAGAATTCCAAAAATTACCACTATGGAAAAAACAAACTTGGAAAAAAGAATTAAGATTATATTAAATATTTTAAAATTATAAAATTTATATAGAAAAAAAAAAAAAAAAATAATCACAGTAATTAAAACAAAATAATATAACAAAATAAATTAATAAACTATTTATAAATTTTTTTTTTTTTAAATCCAATCAATTTTATAAACTATTTTTTTTTTTTAATGCAATTTTTTTTGTATATTTTATTTTTTAAAAAAAAAAAATTATTTAAATTAAATTTTTAAACTTGATCTCTATAAATATCTCTTGTTGATGCTTGATTATTTGCCATAACTTCAATAGTTGTAACTTGGACATGTTCTGGACGTGAAGCACAATAATAAATATTATCAGCAATATCATCAGCAGTTAATGGGTCAATACCAATGTATGGTTTTTTAGCTTTATCTGAATCACCACCAAAACGAACAAGACTAAACTCAGTTTCAACAAGACCAGGACAAACATTGGTTACACGAATTTTGGTGCTTACAACTTCCTTTCTAACGATATCTGAAAAAGCATTAACAGCGGCTTTTGAAGCACAATAAATACTACCATTTTGATAAAACATTGAACCAGCAATACTACTAATATTAAAAATATGACCTGAATTTCTTTGAATCATACCTGGTAAAATCTTTCTTGTTAAACGGAATACACCCTTGACATTGGTATCAATAACAGAATCTAAATCATTTCTAGCATCAATATCAACAACTGCATCCATTCCTAATGATAAACCTGCATTATTAACTAAAATATCGATAGCTTTCATTTCTTCTGGTAATTCATTAAACATTTTATCAATTGAATCCATAGATGAAACATCAACTTGACATGCAAAAACTTTACCACCAGCATTATTTAAAACTAATTGATCTTTAAGTTTATTTAATCTATCAACTCTTCTACCACATAAAATCTATATATTTAAATATAAAAAAAAAAAAAAAAAAAAGGTTAGTTTTTATTGTTTATAAAATGATTTAAATTTATAATTATTTTATATTTACAATATGATTTCCATTTTCGTAGAACATCTTTGCACATGATTCACCAATACCTGATGATGCACCAGTACTATGTATATAAAAAAAAAAAAAGAAATTATTAGTAAAAATAAAAGTATAAATTACATTTAATAACTAGTTACATTAAAACAATTTTATTTGAAATCTTTCTAAACATTTTGTGTGATAATAATATAATTTAACAATGAAATGATATTAAAAAAAATTTAAAAAAATTTTTTAATTTAAATAAAAAAATAAAAAAAAAAAATATTTTTTGAATTTAAAAAAAAGAAAAAAAAAATAAAGTTTCTCTTTTATATGACTCAAAACCAATATTGATTAATGAATCAAATTTTATTATTCTAAAAATAGTAATCAAACACAATTTTAAGTCTTAAAATTTTTTTTATTTATTTAAAAAATATAAAAAAAATAAAAATAATAAAATGTGTTATATTTGTTGAATTTAAAAATACTTTAAGTTATTTTTTTAAAAAATTTTAAAAAAGTTATTATATATTTAAAATTATTCTTAAAAAATACATATTTATTATTTTACATATTTAAATATTAAAAAAAAATTAAAAATATCTTAAACCAGGTCAGGATCTTTTTTAAAATTGTAAAAAAATTAAATTTTGGGGAGTGATATTTTTTTTTTTTTAAATAAATATTACCTTTGATTTTACTATAAAACTATTTTATAATATTAATAAATAATAATAATAATATTTTTCAAAAAATTTATTTGATGTAACAATATTTTGTTTTTAAATAAATTATAAAAATATTTGTTATTTTTTAATAAAATATATTTATAAAAATATATTTATATAAGATTTTAAATTTCGGATTATAAAATTATAATTTTATATATAATCTAGATAATTAATACTCCGTAATTTCATCACCACCTCTCACCTTTAATTTCATACCTCTGATAAATATCTTTTTTTTTTTTAAAAAAAAAAAAAAAAAAAAATTTTATAACTGATTTCCAACACCAAAAAAAATCATAATTTTTATTTTTTTATTTTTTTTATTTTTTTTAAAATTTTTTTTTAAATTTTTTTACTTTTTTATTTTTTTTTATTTTTTATTTTTTATGTTTACAGAATTCTTTTTTTTTAATACTAAAACCAAAGCTAATAGTAATAATTTTCGTTGTTTTTTTTTCTTTTAAATAATATTGAAAATTCAAATAAAATTATTGGTTTGTAATTGAAAAAAAAAAAAAAAAAATGAAAGTAGGATCAATTATAAAATTACTTTCTAATCTTAGAATTCAAATAGTTTTACTTGCATTGGCTGGTTGGGCTCTTGCTTTATCAATAGGTAAATATTTTTGTTTTAAACAAAAAAAAAAAAAAAAACAATTTTATTAATTTTTATAATCAATTTAAAGATAGAACCTATGTAGAAGATTTTAGAGATAAAAGTGATGCTTTTTTTAAAGATACAGTACCAGTAATGGTTAGAACAAAAAATCAAAATGCAGCTTTAATTATTTTAAGTATTTTTGAAACCCTTCTTTTTGGTTTGGGTGTTGGTTTTTTTGTTGCAGTAGGTTTCCGTGTTTTCAAAATTAAAAATTCAATGTTAAGAAAGAGAATGGTAAGTAGTAACAATTTTTAAATATAAAAAAATAATTAAAAAAAATATTAATATGTTTTTTTTTTTTTTTTTTTAAAGATTTGGTGCTGGGCAACTATTTCATTTTTTATGATAGAATGGTGGCCACATTCAACTTCCCACTTTTTAATTAATCAAAATTTTGACCCACAAACAAAAATTAAAAACTATATTGTAATGGAAACTACATTCCATTGGACAATTACATTTTGTTCAGCCACACTTGGTTATTTCCAATATGGTGAGTTTTTTTATTATATAAAATTTATAAATATAAAATATTAATTTTTTTTTTTTTTATTATAAATAGATTTAATTAAATTAATGTATGAGGTTGCAATGATGAGATTAAAAATGAAAGAAGGTAGAGAAGTCGATCCATTAAAACAAGAATGGTGGAAGAATTATTATTATCATGCTGCTATAATTGCATGTATATTCTTTGCTCCAGCTATGGTTGTTTGTTTCCACTATGAACCAGTTACCATCTATCAAGGTATAGATTTACTTGCTTGGCAAAAATTCTTTTTTGTTACATTCCATATTGTAAATTCCGCAGTTCTTTCAGTTGGTGTTGGCTTTGCTTACGTTGCTATAAGAACCATTAGACTTTTACCACCAAGTCCAGGTAAAAGAGTATCAGTTATTTCATCAATTGCTATTACTTTCCTTTTTATAATTCAATATCCACATCCATTTGTTCATAACCATACCCAATTAAATATGTATAATGTTATTGCAGTTGATTTTGGTGTACATATTCCAATTGTAATTGCTACTGGTGTATTAGCATTCTATCAATTCCGTATGTTAGAGTTAGCTACCGATGAAAAGTCTTCACTCTCTGTAGCTGCTCAAATGAGAAGAAAGAGTGGTTCATCTCAACATTCTGGAAACAACTCTATGAAATCAATCGATGGTGGTCATGGTACAACTGGTTCATTCGCCACAAGCTCGATCGAAGAAAGTCTTAGTAAAAATAGTTCACAAGAAGTAGCTCAACAACGTGAACAAGTTATTGAAATTAAAAAAGATGCAGAAAATAATGTCGAAATAGAATTGGAGGATATTCAAAAATAAGATTAAACAAAAAAAAAAAAACAAAAAAAAAACAAAAAAAAAAAAAAAATTTTCGAAAAAAAATTTATAAATGAAAATATATAAATTTAAAAAAGTGTAGAAATATAAAATCAATAATAATCTATTGATATAATTGTAATATAAATAAAAAAATTTAAAAATATTATTATACTTTTTTTTTTTTAATAATTTTTTAGTCTTTGATTTAAATGATGTTTATTAAATAATAGTTTTTTATTGTTTTAAATTTGTTATTTTAGGAGAACGGTGGTACAAAATTGGTGCAGATAGTTGGGTATTAGGAGAAATTAAACATACGGTTCTACTCATTCTTTTACTTATTGAAAAGTGAATTGGAAGAACTGAAAGTCTATCTGGAAATTTTGGTGAGATATTTAAATAGGAAAGCTTATGATAGGATTTTGTAATAAATTTAATAGTTTCTTGATAATTTTGATTTTGTTGTTTATTTACATTTTGGATACCAACAATTGAAATCTAAATATAAATATAAATAAAAAAATTAATACAGGTGGTTTGATGAATAAATTTTAAGAAATATAATATTACTAATACTTACCATATAGGTGAATGGTAGTTCTTTTTTGGTAATATTATTTGAGGTTATACCTGGAGATGTTATTACAAATGATGTGGATAGTGGTAATAAATTATCATTATTATTATTATTATTATTATTATTATTATTATTTAGTAAAGTAAAATCTTCTTCATTATCAAATATTGAAGGAAAATTATAAGAATAATAAATTGGATTGTTTGGATAAATTGCAAAGGTTTGATTTGATAAAGGTGATACGGATTTAATTGAGTTATTTTCTAATTTTGGATCTAAAATTTAAAAAAAAAAAATTAATATGGTTATTTATGGTTTATAATTTTTTATTAATTTAAAATTACCATTTATAAATTCGGTTAAAAATGATTTAAAACTTGTATTAAAAGTTAAATTTAAAAATATAACACTTTCAATATTATAAATTTTATCAACCAATGGAACTTGAGTTCTTTGACTCTCTAAATTCTTTTCAAAATGCTCTATTGTAGTTTGCCAATCATTGTATTCTTGTTTGGAAATAATACCAAATTTACCAATTACAACTGAACAAAGTGATCCAGAAAGAGATAGACCAATGATTTCTGAAATAAAGAACCAGGCATTTTGGAATGAATCTTTCCATAAATAATCACCAGTAGTTTCGGATACAGCCAAAGGTATAAGTTTATTTTCAAGCATTTCCCCATAATCATCAACTAATGAACATGATAGCCATTTATTATCATCTGACAAAGTATAGCAAAAATGAATTGTAGTAATTTGTTGCTGTGGTTGTTCAGCTTGAGATAAAATAAATAATGGCTCATAGATTTTACTAAATAATTTATGATACCAATTATTATTACTATTATTGGTTGTATTGTTACCCCCATTATTATTATTTAATTGATTAATTTGGGATGTAAAGTGAATGGTTTGGGTTGATGAAAGTGTTGAAATTCTTCTACATTTGTTAAAAACAGAGAATGCTAATTCTTTTGTAACTGAGGAGGAACTTGGGTCATCTAATAAAACTTGTTCAATTGGTATGGTTTGAATTGTTACATTTAAAAATTGTTGAATTGAAGTATCACGTAAAATAGTTTGAAAACAAGAGCTAGTAAAAAGATATGAATTTCTTAAATGATTAATATCTTCTGATGTTGATGATTTCATATTATTATTATTCACATTATTATTTATGGTTGAAGAGTTATTATTATCATTATCATTGGTATTACTATTGTTATTGTTTTGTGAACTTAAATCTGAAAATGGATTTACAATATATAAAACTATACAATTATTTTCAGTATATTTTGTTGATAGATCTTTTAAATAGTTTCCAAATTGAATGCAATTAAGATAATATGTATCAATATAAGAGTTTAAGTTTGTTTCAGAGTTATTATTATTATTGTTTGATGTATTTGATGCTGAGGTAGTTGTTGAAGTTGAAAAGGGTGAGGAGATATAACAAATTCCACTATAAAATGGTGATTTTTGTTGTTGTTGCAGTTGTGCTTGTTGTTGTTGCTGCTGTACTTGTTGATGATGATAGGGATTATTATGGAATGGTGATTTTTGTTGTTGTTGTTGTTGTTTCTGTAGAGCTTCTTGTTGTGCCTGTTGTTGTTGTTGAAATGATTGTTGTTGAGTAACATGATTACCTAGATGATTTGTTTCATAAATACAACTAAGATCAGAGAAAAAGGCAGGAGCATGTACTCTCATTGCTGGAGTATCTGGACATAATACAAAATAAGTAATATTTTTCTTTGGTGAATAAGGTTCTAATTGAGCTTTATCCCAAAATCTGAGTGTTGTTATTGGAACTTCTAACCAGTCTTCTTTATGACCAACTATAATTTTTGGAATTGGTAACCATTCAAAAGAATAGTCTTGATGTTGTTGTAATTGTTTTTCAATTTGATTATTATTATTATTATTATTATTATTAATATTATTATTATTAATATTATTATTTGTTAAATTTGATGAAATAGAAAATTCATCAGTATCCATTGACATCATACCTTTATCAATACTACTATTTAAATTATTCTGTTGTGTTAAAATAGTATCATCATCATTATTTAATATATCATTATTATTTATATTATTATTTATATTATTACAAAATTCTTTAATTGATAATGGATTAGTTGATAGTGGAAAAATTTTTTTAATAATTTCATTTGAGACTGAATATAAATTTTTAACACTTGTTTCTAGAATTGCATTAGTTGTAATGGGATCTATAACGGTTTCTAAAGCATCTGAAATATATTCTTCAGTTAAAAATTGTAAGTTATGATGGTTGAATAATTTACCAGTTTCGGAATAAACTTTTAACCAATTTTCAATATAATAGTCAACACTTTGTCTGATTAGTGGACTATTATCAATAGAAAAACCAAAGGTCGAATCGTAGTTTGTTATTGAAAGTTGTTGAATAACATATGCCAGGTCAAAGCATTCATCATTGGTGATGTGATGTGGTTGGATACTTTGAAGTAATGGTGATTTATTAGCTTGGTTTACTAATGATGAGGGATTTATTGGTGTGGTTAATGAGGGAGTGGGATAATTTACTAATGGTGAAGTTGGACTAAAGCTTAAAGATTGATCAAAGAATGATAATAATGCAGATGATGATGGTTTGGGTTGATCTTCTTCTTGTTTTTGTTTTGTGGTTTTAAAAAATACATTTTTATCATCTTGTTCTTGTGTTGCAAAATTGTGTTGATCTTGTTGTTGTTGATCTATTTTTTCATCACCTAGCGATTCATTTGTTGGTTTTATATTTATACTTTGGCTAGATCTACCATTCATTTTTGGAGAAATGGGTGGTGAGGAATAGTTTATTTTTTGATTTGATAAAGATAGTGATGGTTGTTGTGTTTGTTGAGATGTTGGTTGGTGTGGATAGTTATGTAAGTTGGAATGGGCTGTAAATGGTGAGTATTTTGTTTGGTTCATTTGATTTGATGGTTTTTGAGTTGGAGTATATGTGTATTCAAATTTTGGTTGGATTGGTAAGGTATGTTCATCTAATGGCTTATATGATGGTGCACAATAATATGGAGCATTGCTCTTATTCTTTGAAGATTGATCTAGATTTGCTCTTGAAAGTGTAAGATTTCCATAAAATGTAGTTAACCCATCAATTGACTCATCTCCACCACCTAAGCTATTTCTAAGAATGAGGTTTTCATGTGGTGATTGGGATAAATGATTTTCTGATGAAAATGATAAACCGATTTCATTTTGATTTCCACTAACACCACCTGTACTAGAGTTTGAACCAATACTGCCACTATTTTGTCTTGTGTGCTCTGACATTATTGAATCTATTAATGGAGAGTCATGATGTGGAATAGGAAGATGGTTTTGACTTAATGAAGGGGCTTTATATGGAACAGGGCATAAAAATTGAGCATCTAAAAATGGCTTTTCATTATCTGAAATATTTATACCTTCTTTACTACTTTTGTTTATATTTTGTTGTTGTGGTTGTGATTGTTGTGGAGGTATTACTTGTTGTGGAGGTTGTTGAATTGGTTGTAAAATTTCTTGTTGTAGTTGTTCTTGCTGTTGTGGTGGTTGTTGTAGTTGTTGCTGTAGTTGTGGTGGTTGTTGTAGTTGTTGTTGTAGTTGTGGTGGTGGTAAATTTAAATTTGTTTCATTTGTTGTTTGTGGTTTGATATTAAATGATTGGAATGGATCATCAATGTTATTTGGAACCTGTCTTTGATTTTGGTTTGGTTTTATACTATTTGGTGGTGGTGCAACATAATAATGACTGGTCCATAAATCTAAATCCATATCAGAAACTGATAGATGCATTAGATCGTCATCTTTGCTTTTAATTTCATCAAAATCTGCACCAAAAATATCCATTGAGCTATTAAATGGATTATTTATTTGTTGTTCATGTTGCTGTAATTGTAATTGTTGTGGTTGTGATTGCTGTACCTGTGGTTGTTGTTGTATTGGTTGTTGCTGCTCATGTTGCACTGTTTGAGAGGGTAAATTTTGTTGAATTGGCTCTTGGGTTATTGTTGAGTTTGTTGGTTTTGTTAGGGGTACTAAAAAAGTATCATTTGCAGGTTGTTGAACATCTTCTTTTTTTCTTTTTGATGATCTTCCTTTCTTTTGTTGTTTTGATTGTCTTTTTTTATCGCCAGTGGTTATATGGATATCACCATCTTGGAGATGATCTTCAGGTGAGGTTATCGGAGTTTTAGGAGATTGAGGGATATTTGCACTTGGGGAATTTACATTGAATGGAGAATGGGCAATTGAATTACCAGGAGATGAGGGTGGTATTGGGGAATTTGAACTTGGAGATGGTAAAGGTTTACTAAAAGTAGAATTAAAATCGACATTCACCTGTTGAGACAGCGATTCTCTGCTGTGAAATAATGGTAAAGACCAAAAATCTACATATTTTGATTTAACCTGCTGTTGTGGTTGTTGCTGTTGCTGTTGATGTTGATGTTGATGTTGATGTTGTTTTAAATTTAAATTTAAACCTTTTTCTAAAATTGAATATGGACTTCTTTCAATAATTTCAAAACCCATTTCTTTTTGCTTTTCATGAAATATAAATTGTGAAATATCAGAAACTTGAGGTATAAATTTAAATAGTAATTCTATTGGGAAAAAAGTGTTAATTAGGGGTGAAGAATTTCCTCTGGTAATAATTGTTTTAATTGATTTTGGAATTTGTAAATGATTATAGCTCTTTGTAATTTGTGTAGATTTGTTATCAATAAATTTTGGATAAAGTGATTTATTTGTTAAACCAATATTAAACAATTGTTTCCATTGTTGAGATGATAATATAAAATTTAATTCTTCTTCATCTTGAAACTTTCTTTTTTGTTCAACTATCGGATTTGGTTTAATTGGTATTGTTAAATTTTCTAAATTATTATTATTAATATTAATATTATTTTGTGATTGAATTGGAGTTGAATTTGATGATAATGTTTCATTATTTTTGATATCTTTAAAATTACCATTATTATAAAATGCAATAAATGAATTTGGACTTGTAAATAATGGTGAGTTAATATATTCACTTTTTAATAAATCTTGAATTGGTTTTAATCTTTTCCTATCCACAATAAAATGAAGATAAACTGATTTATTATTTATGAAAAATGAAAATGAACATGATAATAAACTATCTTCATCTATAAATAAATTACTAAAACCATCGAACAACCTCTTTTTATTGCTTATATTACTAATTAAACCTTCAATATTATTTGACGATGCTAGTGATGTTGCTGATTTTGAATTGTTTGATGTATTTGTAACCTTTTGATGTTGTAATATATGAGAGCTTTTAATAAATGATGACCCAATTTTAATAAAATCATTTGATACCATATTACTAAAAAAAAAATTTTAATTTTTTATTATTTGAATTTATTAAAAATTATTTATATATTTAAATCTACTTACTATTCAATTAAATTATACAATGATTTAAATAAAAATTGATATATAAAACTATTATAACAATTTTTATCAATACTATCAATACACAAAATGCCTGAATCAATACCTATTGAATAAAAATAAAAAATGTTAATATTGTTTTTTTTTTTTTTTTTTTTTTTTTAAAAAATAATTACTCTGTAAATCTAAAAAATCTAACTGTGAACCATCTATATTAAAAACCCACAATTCATAAATTGATTGTTCATTCTCGGTATTTGCTGATGCTAATATTTGATTTTTATTTAATTGTAATGAAATTGGTGGTGTAGGTGGTGGTGATTTAGAATTTGTTGACGGTGATTGTAATTCCTGTTGCTTAGTAATATTTGATGGTGATATTGGTGATGGTGCAGATAATGATGGAGTTTTTGGTGAATTTTTTGATGAACCAATATTTGTTGTTGTGCTATTAGTATTTGTAACTATTGTTGAAGATGAAGATGATGAAGATGAAGAAGGTGAAGTTTTATTTTGATTATCTCTTGGTGAAACTGTATTATCATTATTATTATTAATATTATTATTATTATTATTATTATTATTATTATTATTATTATTATTATTATTATTTAAAGGTGAATTTTTTGAACTAGATAGATTACTATCATTCCCAAATTTATCGAAATTGCTTTTTTTTGAAACTTTACATTTTCTCCAAAGACATGGTATACCTTTTTCAATTGTCTTTAAATATAATAATAATATTGGATCATTAATTAAATTTTTACTATTTATATTATTACAACTATTAGTATTATTATTATAATTATTTGTACTGTTAATTGATCTATAAACACTCCATTCAACTTTATTAATACCCTAATAAATAAAAAAATTAAAAAAATCAAAATTAGTAATCTAAACTAATTAATTATTAAATATTATTAATATAAAAAAATTTTATTATTTTACCATTGAAATTATATTGGTTAATATATTTTCAGTGTTTAATGTCGGATTAGAAAATCTAGATAAGTTATATGAATTTGAATTTAGTGGTATAGAATTATTAGAATTCGGTATATTGCCACCAGCAAGACCAATACTATTGGGTTTATTTGAGGTGACATTTGTGTTATAGGATTGAACTTTTGATCCAATCATTTATAAATTAATATATAAAAAAATATGAATTATTTTAATTAACAAAAAAGAAAAAAAATTTGATTTAATTTAAAAAAAATAAAAAAAAAAATTTTAAAAAAAAAAAAAAATAAAATTTAAAAAATATAAATTTTAAAAAAAAAAAAAATAATTTAAAATAAAAAAAAATAAAAAAAATAAAAATTTATACAAATATATATTCTTAGTTATCCCAAAACCATTTTATTTAATAATAAATTCACATTTTTAGTTATCCCAAAACCATTTTATTTAATAATAAATTCCCAAATATGTTAGTTATATACAAATAAAAAATTTAAAAATATTTTTTAAAAAAATTTAAAAAAAATAAAAAAATTTTTATTTTATTTTTTTTTTTTTTTTTTTTTTTTTTTTTTAAAAATTTAAAATTTTTTTTTTTAAAACAACTACTTATCGATTGCTCCAACCTTTGTGTTTTAAATAAAAATATCCAATACCCACGAAACTTATTTGTTTTTCAATCAAATACTAACACACAATCACTAATTACAGATTTATTTAAAAATTAAAAAAAAATAAAAAATTTTAAAAAAAAAAAGGTAGACAAAGAAAATTGTTTTTTTTTTTTTTTTTTTGTGAATCTTTAAATAATTTTTTTTGTATCATATATATATATTTAAATAATTTTTTTTGTTTTATAAAAATAGTTATGGAACGTCCAAAAAAAATAAAAAACAATATTAGATTCAGTATTGAATCAGACAGTTGTAGTGAAACTTCAGAAACTCAAAAAAATCAAGACGAAAATAACAGTTGTACAAATAATAATAATACCAATAATATAAATAGCAATGAAAATGGTAAAATAGTCATAGTTTTAATATCCAATAGAATTAATACTAATTTTATTTTAATATATTTAGATTGTAATAAAATAACATTCGAAAAACTATTTGAATCAATTCCACAAACTACATTAGAAAAAATAAAAGATAGCAAAGTAAAGTATGCATTTATAACAAAAGGAACAATTCATTCAACAAGTAAACAACATAAATTTAAACAACCTGTTAGCTTAGAGTTTGCAATTCATTTTTTAGGTATGGTTAATTATAATACAATAACAATGCTTTTAAATATCAAAATATTAATTTTTTTAAATTTCATTTAAATTTTATTACAGCTGATTCAAACGTTAAAGACTCAACTCTTGTATTTATAAATGATAATTCTTTAATATTTTCAAATGGTTGTTACGATGAATTAGATATATTTGATGAAAGCGATTAAAAACAATATAAATAAAATTTTAAAAAAAAAAAAATAATAAAAAAAAATAATAAAATAATTATAAATAATAAAAAATAATATAATTTTAAAAATGAATAATAATTTCTTAATATTCATTATATGTAATTTAGAAATAAAATAATAAAAGATAAATTTAAGAAAAAAAAAAAATGGTTTTAAAATTTTTTTATTGATCGATTTGATTTACAATTGTTTTTATTTAAATTATTATATATGATTAATTTAAATAAATATTTATATATGGTTTTTTTTTTTTTTTTTTTTTAAGATATTTACTATGTTTTATAATTTAAATACTATATGGTATTTTTATATATATATAATTTGTTTTTTATATGATACGCTCTTTTCTAATTTTTAGAAAAGTTTGAAAGGGAGGGAAGATAACTATTATTGTTATTTGATTGTTGACTATTTATATTATAATTTTGTTGTTGAGGTTGTTGTTGATTATTTAAACTTAAAGGTGGTAAGTTTTTAATTGAAAAATAATTACTATTATTATTAATGTTATTATTATTATTGTTATTATTGTTACGCTCATCAAATGATGGTGATGATGAAACTGGCGAATTTTGTTGTTGATGGTTTAAAATATTTTGCTGTGGTTGGTAATGATATGGAGGTTGCTGACTATCATTTTGATTATTTATTGGTAAAGATGGTGATGACGAAGATGAGGAAGAGTTTTTCTCTTCAATGTTATTAAATGAGGTTGTGGCTGCGGCTGTTGTGGTTGAGGTTGATGATGCTTGTATATTAGATTGTGTGGTTGTGGTTGTAGTTGTAGTTGTTTTTTTATTATTTGTTGTGGTTTTTAAAGATTTTGGTGAATTTGCTGATGATTGAGAGTTTTCATTAATAGAATCATTATTTTGGTTCTGCTTTTCTTTTTCTTCATTTTTTGAGGCGTCAAGTTTTGCGTGGCTGCTTTTGTTAATAATCTTCCCCCACAACCTCTTTGTCTTCTAATAGTATGTTGATCGACTACTTTCGTGTTGGTATGCCCTTTCTAGTTTTTGGTAAGTTCATTTTCACATTTCTTATTTCTGCTCTGGCAGCACGCCTTTTTACATATTCGATATATATTGTTTTGCATTTACATATAAAGGTTC